AGTAGGCCTAAAAATCAATCACAAGTTTATTTTAATCTGCATTCAACTAACTCCTGATTACTATAAAATGATCACTATTAAAAGATTAATGAAATCATCTATCATACTCTAATCGTACGCTCATTATTTGGCAGACAGTTGATTCTAAGTCTTCTCCATGCTTTTCATTTTTCACAGTAATTTCACCGTATTGAATTTTTTCACCAGTTGTTAGAGGATAATATTCGGCGCATTTTGATTCACCATTTTCGATAAAATCACATAACATTACTATTGCTTGTACTTCTTCCTGTAGAATTTTAAAAAAAAAAAATGTGAAAGAAAAAAATGAAATAACAGCAAATATTGTCATACTAAGATATTTCCAAGCATATATTCTTTATATATGAAATTATAAATTCATTAGCAAAAAAAAAAATTATACAAATACTTAATAGTGCAAGCAATCTGCATTATTATAAAAAAAAAAGTATCGCACAGAATTTACTAAAAAAAATGCACTATAAATATTTGTTTAGGAATGGATAATAATTGAACGTCGATTGTATTATAGGCTGCCGGCATAAATCGCTACCAATCGCACATACACCTATTAAATACCCATGTAAACTGGCGTGGATTCACGCATAATTACGCCACATATATCCACATACGTATATGCAGCCATTCATATACACTTAGTTTCGCAAAATACATCTATAGGCAACCATCCATATACACTTACTTAATCTCGCAGATACACCTACTTAGGCAATTACGCAAACGGTCAACAAACGTCACACCCACCCAGGCACCCACATAACGCCCACCCATGCACCCACATAACGCCCACCCAGACACCACCCACGCACCCACATAACGCCCACTCACACACCTACACGTACATACAGATAGATATATGCCATGCTACGTTCACTCAAGCTTACTGACCCCATGCTTACTAAATGCATCCTCATTCATTCATCAATAAAGTCATACATAAAAGAGAGAATCTTTAAAAAATAAATTGGAATAGATGTATTTGATTGAAAAAAAAAAAACCTTGAAAATCATCCACCAGAAATCTTCAATAGTTTCTTCAAGTGGACCCTGTGTACAAATGTATCGTCTATTAGTTGATAGTTGAACCCAATTTGCATGAATGTAATCATTGTTTCTTGGACGATCTTTCAAGATTACCCGTGTTTTATCGAGACACATTACATCAGTGTATCTTAAATGATTGCTAAACTAATATACTCATTATTAAACTATCAAATCAAAATTTTTTATTTCAAATTAATTGAAGTCAATTTTTGGATATTCTATTCAATTATTTATTTTCAATCGATATACAATATTGTATGATGTAAATGATTACGCTTTGAGATGTATTTATTCTATTATCGTTTATTTTAATTATTCCAAAATAATGATAAGAGATGCAATTGTTATTTCGCTAAACAATTTAAATGATTAGAAAAGAAAGCAATCATATTAATGATTTCTATTCATTCGTATAATTTACCGATTTTTAGCAGGATACCGATCAAACATAATCGTTGTCATTTTTGGTGGTAAAAATTTTCGGACAGACGCAAAATCTTTCAGTATTGGTCGTAAACCTTTACGACAGATGGATCTGATACATTCCAAAGCGCTATCTTCAACCTTATCACTAACTGGCCCAATATCTTTGTACTCTAAAAAGTTTCATCATTATTTTATTTCAAAAAATAAAATATTTCAAAAAAGAATATTTCAAAAAATTTACACATAATATTTCTCTGTAAATTTTTATCATGGAATGCTTTATATAACCTTAGATTAATATGACAAAAAAAGAATCAAAAGCGACAATTAAATTAAAATTCATTCTTCTAAATTTAACGTTTAGCCATCAATAATTTTAAATATTAATAAGTTGGTGAGTTGAAATTTTTTAATTAACCAAAATTGAAATAGTTTAACTTAAAAAAAGATGATATCAATGGAATTGTAACCTGAATCCATCTCAGTATCACCTTCTTTCATCACTTCATCCTTAATATATGTTTTCTTCCGTTTTTGTTCGGCAGATTTTTTTTTAATTCCCTAAAATTTGATTATCTAATTTTAACATCGAGATTACGCTGTTTTTCACTAAACAATGCAATAATGTCTGAAGATCTTAAATAATTATAATATTAATAGCAGCTTAAATTTAGCTAATTAAATAGACGAAAATAGGTATAATTTGTAACTTACTATGAAACAGTGTTATAATTAATTAACAATTTGCTCCAACCAGCAAATATTTTCTTTAAAAAAAGACGGAAACATAAAAACTTACACCTTTTCCTTTTCGACCTCTGGAAAAAGAGAATATTTCACTCCATTTAAAATGTTTTTTTTTTATTTTTTTGTAATAAGTTAAAGAGGAAAAAAATTTAAAACTTAAGATTAACAAAAAAGCCTGTTTTGTAGTTAAATTGGAAAAATAAATAAAACAGAGAAAGAAATGGAAATATTTAGCAATATTTATTGCT